AGGCAGAGACTTAGGCAGGTAAAGTTTCTCTAATTCATCCCATGGGGCCTTAACAGTATCATGTTTTCTTACTTTTCTTAAAATTTAATCAGACGAATGTAAAATAATGGAGGTATAAGCAAGTTCATCAGATTCTTCCTTTTGATCATCTGTCATGGTATCAAGAAATTCATCTGTTATTGCTTTGGAAACTTTTTACTGAACTAAAACACCTCGCATTTTTTGTTGCCAAATGAGAAAATCCCCTTTTTCCATCAAAAACACAAAGTTCAAAAGATACTTTTGTCATGTTTTACTATTGAAAAACTAACACACAGTATTTCCAAAAATTAAAATAAGACAGATGATCAACTTTTGAAAATCTATTGAATTTGACCTTCGCAAAAAAGATGTTTTAGATCACAGAAGAACAAAATGCAATCAGATGAATAAGTCACAATTATTCCTCATTACAAAAAATTCCAGCAATGTCAAGATCAATTATTATATCAATGTGAACACTACAAGAACCAAGGAATTAATACAAAATTGGCAGAATCAATATCTCAGGTGCACAAAAAAGGAGTCTGCAGTAGTACAAGAGTGATCAAATTCACCAGGATTCTGTGAGAATCAAGTTCTCAGGTCAAGGCTCAATTTGAATCACCCAAATTAAACTATCACAGACAAATATGACGAGATATCACTCACTGATGTAACAAATTACAATGTACAACAGTTAAAACATATCAAAAAGAGACATCAACAGGTATATCCAGTATTAGGCGTGTGTGTGTAATCGTGTAGGGATCAAGAATTGCAAACCGAAGGATGGTTAATTGATTTTAACCACCAACACAGATCAAGAAACGATTATCGTAGCCAAGAGAGAGCGTTTTCCAGTTCACCAAATCACATGTCGAGCTATTATAGTTTCAAGATTTAGGTACTTTTCCAGATCGAGGCTAGAGGTCACAGAACTACCTCGTTTTCCACAGTCTAGATTCAGATTAGCTCAACAAACCACTGGATCGACTCAGATCTAGACCTAGGGTTTCATGATCTGAGGTCGAACGCCTAAAAATTGATTTTTCAGTGTTTGAACTCCAATCGAAGACTCAAGAACAAATTATCGAAGCTCTGATACCACTATTATTTCGTAATCTGAAATTGTAAAACCAAAATATACAAAACTTTACATAAAACCTAAACCACAGCATCTAGTGAAGATCTTTCATAGGCTCAGACCAAAAGCCCCAAATAACATCACCAAGACACCGAAACTCAACCACGAGCCCTCACAGTCCCAAAACCACAGAGTTACTTCAATTGGACACAAAATGGACAGACCACTTCAACAATGATTCACTCACACAGAGAAGAATCACACAAGGAATTGAATATCACAAAGATAATCCCCAAATGATCTCACACAGAGAAGCAGAAAAAGCTCGAAGTCAGAAAGCCCTTATGAAGGTTCCAGAAAACGACTCACGGAAAAGAGAAAAAGAAAAATGACGACCTCTAACCCTAGATCAAAGAGAAAGATCTAATTTATAGTAAAAACTATCAGCCATTAGATCAGTGGGTCAATCCAACGGTCCCAGAGCAACTAGGGTAATGGGCTGGTTATTGGGCTCGGTTAAGTGGGTCGTCTAAGTATCAAGAGAGTGGTTAATATGCTCTTTTCTTATTGGGCCTGGATTTTATCATCATTGCCTATGTTGGACAGATCATTGGCATCACAGCCCAACACGTTTAATGAGTCAAAATGCATCATAACTTCAATGAACAATTAAAATTGCCATCTAAAATTTTGATAATCATCATCGTTACTGCTAGTAGTATTACTAGCTATTTAGCTATTACCTTCAACCACTTACTATATAATCCATGGACTGAGTGTATTGTTGGTCAATTTGACAAGGGCCACAACGTAGAGATCCAGAAGTTAGATTGTAATGAAAAAATGATATTGAGTTAAAACTCATCCTTTCAAGAAGTGAAAATTACAATTAAAATTTGAAAAGAAAAAAAAAAACAAACTACTTGGTCATAACTAATCATTATGAGGTTTTATATAAACTAGAAATCAGCATCACACACTCCACAAAAACAATTGTATATATAAAAAACCTTTTACACGTTTTTAAGTAAAATAACTACATTTAACTAACCTTGGTATCCAGCTGCACGTAGGAGGCCGAAAGGCTCACACCTTTGGCAACATCCCGCTAGGTGTGAAAAACAGGTTGTTTGCATGAAAAAATAGGTCACTCTCAGCAGGTTCTCGCATTATTCTAATTAACTGCAAAGTACTGTTAGAAAATCTATTAGGTACTTTTTTATGGGATTATACTCAAAAACATTATATACGTTGGTCGAAATGGAGGGAGCTATGTTGCCCCATAGAAGAAGGCGGCCTTGGCTTTCGTAGGCTTCAAGATATGGTCAATGCATGTAGTTGTAGCTTCTGTGGAGATTTCGACAGCATAATTCTCTATGGGTTGAATTTTATACAAAAAATACTGTCAAGACTTTACCTGCTCTAGTGCCAAAAAGAAAAAGTTGGTTCCAAACTCAAATATGGAGACAATTAAGCCAAATTTAAGCAATTAAGTACGTGCTTTGCACGTCTTATGTATCGGGTGAATTATATACGTACTATTTTTTGAAAGTTGTTGAGATAATTGATATTATTAAAGTAAAAAGTATAATTATTAAATATAATGAATATATGAATAAAACTTTTCATGGATATGTGTATATAATGTCAAAATATTGAATAAAATGAAATATAATCTTTTAATTACAATAACACTTCTTCGAATACAATATTTTTATCAACGTCTCACGACTTTTCATTATTTTATTTGTAGTTCACATAAACACAAATATGTAAATCGTAGACAAATATTCATACATATACAAATTATTGGAACACAAACACAATTAATCTACTATTATACTAATGCAGACCTTTATATATTGTAATACTTTTTTATGAATATGTATTATATATATTTAGCTTCAATTTTAAGTAATTAAACTTAAATCGATTAATATAAAGTAATGAAATTTATATTTTAAAGGAGATAAAATGAAGTAGATTTATATTAAATTTGTGGACTTATAATATAATTGATAATTAGTAACAATTATTATGCATTTAAAATTAAAAGCTTAGTTGTCAAAAATAAAATATAAAAGGGCAGAAATGGAAATTAAAAGTTTTCCATACCAAATTTTCAATTATTGACACTATCGTTATAATACTATATATATAATGTTAACATTTGAAGCATTCTATTTTATATCATGGGCATAAATTTTTGAATTTGTTACAAATAAATGTAAATTAATAATATTCTTAATCATGTTTACGTTGAGTGTTTAGAATTTCAACAGTTATTATTCAAACAATTAGTTACTTACTATTCAATTTTGATGAAAAAAAATATACCATTATCTATTTCTTTAAGGGTAATGAATGTGATTTTATTTTTGTGATTACTCGATTTTTTTAAAAATTGTTGATCTCGATTTTCCCTTGTGGTTAGACGGTTTTCACTCTCATTTCAAGTTTTTTCAGTTTTTTCTTATTTCAATGAAGGTAAATCAAGGCAAGAGCACAAGTTCAATAATGATTAAAAAATCTTATTACATATATTCTTTTAAAAATATATTTATATAATTTTTTTAATTGTATGTGATAATATTTTTATTAAATAATTATTAATAATTATGTTTAGTGGAAATTAATTGACTTAATTTTTGAAAGCATTAATAATTATTAATTATCTTATTTAGAGGAAATAAATTGAATCATTTGGTATTTCATTTTTATCTAAACTTAGGTATACGCATTATTAATTGTCAATCAAAACAAATTTTAAATAAGGTAAATAATAAATATAGCATATTAATGAAACTTTTTTTTTTCTTTTTGTAAACCAAATGAGAGTATATTGGACATATAGGTAAATGTATAATGGTATAATTGGTATTCAAAAGTTTTTTTCTCAATCCACACTTTTGATATATTGTAGAAGATTGTAGATAGATATTATGAAATATTCCAGAATTTGTTCGACTGAAGAGATGTATCTTTTCATATGAAAGATCATGATTTTTGGAATTGTTATTTTTTGTCTTTTCATATAGAAACTAATTTCAATAATTGTATCTTTTTGTAGAGTTGTTTTTGAAACACAACTTTCCAACAACTATACATAATCCCCACATGTGTGGAATTTTCATTCATTCATAATTCATTTTTGCACTATCATGTTCAAACATACTCACTTTGAAATAATTTTTTATATTTATTTTGATTCGAGTTTCATATAAATATAAAAAATTATTTCCAGCAACTATTATACGACGTGATCATTATATCTTGGGATACAAACAGGGGCAGAGCCCCATTAGGTCTAGTGCAGGCAGATGCCTGCACTGAACTTTTGGGCTCCAGTAGATTTTTTTTTTGGTAAAGCCTGGTTCAATAAAAAAAGCCCAATTGCCCACAGCCCATGACCCGTTTACTGACCTAGACCTAGAATCTTAATTCAATTAACCCGATTACGTTCAAATCAAAACCAAACCCTTACTTGAACTTGAATCGCGTCTCTCTCGATCGGTCGACCCTCGCCTGCTTCTCGCCAGTCGTCACTCCAACTCGCAGTTGTCGACTTCTAAATTGTAGTTCCAGTCCACCGGCAGTCGGCATCTCCTAGATTAGGGGCTCTACAGACTACACTTGAACCGCCAGCTATCGCGACGTCGCCTGCCAGCCCAAGCTGCCCAACAAAAGAAGAAGAATTGAATCACTGGAGATTGGAGAAGCTCGAAGCCGAAGCCCAGAAGAACGAAGAAGGTGATTTTGATTTCGATTTAATTTTCAATTTCAACCTCCAATTTCTTGTAGCAAACTCGAAATTGTTTTTCAAGTTCCATTGCATTGTTTATCAACAATTTTAGTACAGTGAAGGGACAAAAATTGCACACTATACGAAACACATATGGGTAATTGGCACAAAACGTCCTTACCTTTCAAGTCTATTGTGGAAAACGTCCCTACCTTTTATTTTTTGGCATTTTTGCCCTCATTCAACCTTTCTTTGCGCTGGACGTCCTTCCGTCCATATTCCGTCAGTTTTTTCGTTAATTAAAGGGTAATTGGAACAAAACGTCCCTACCTTTCAAGTCTATTGTGGAAAACGTCCCTACCTTTCATTTTTTGACATTTTTGCCCTCATTTCAACCTTTCTTTGCGCTGGACGTCCTTCCGTCCATATTCCGTCAGTTTTTCCGTTAATTAAATACAAAAATACATTTTTCTTTCCATAAACAAGGGTAAAATTGTCCTCACCCACTTCACCCCTTTTTCCCACCATCAACTTAGTCCATAAGTAACAGTAGCAGCAACATGAATCTGAAAATACTTTAAATAATTAAGTTAAATAAAGAAAAAATATCGTGAACACATTATATTTCACAATTCCACAACTACTGTTGCTGTCATCTTCTGTCATTGGAAAATTTTAGAAAGACATATTAAATGGGTAGTCAATTTATAATGAGCCAAAATGGTGAATGGCTCTTTTTGGCTCAATGGAGAAGATGAATGGCTCATTTTAAATTGACTACCCATTTAATATGTCTTTCTAAATTTTTCCAGTGACACAAAATGACAGCAACAGTAGTTGTGGAATTGTGAAATATAATGTGTTCACGATATTTTTTTCTTTATTTAACTTAATCATTTAAAGTATTTTCAGATTCATGTTGCTGCTACTGTTACTTATGGACTAAGTTGATGGCGGAAAAAAGGGGTGAAGTGGGTGAGGACAATTTTACCCTTGTTTATGGAAAGAAAAAGATATTTTTGTATTTAATTAACGGAAAAACTGACGGAATATGGACGGAAGGACGTCCAGCGCAAAGAAAGGTTGAAATGAGGGCAAAAATGTCAAAAAATGAAAGGTAGGGACGTTTTCCACAATAGACTTGAAAGGTAAGGACGTTTTGTGCCAATTACTCGAATGTTTAACGGAAAAACTGACGGAATATAGACGGAAGGACGTCCAGCGCAAAGAAAGGTTGAAATGAGGGCAAAAATGCCAAAAAATGAAAGGTAGGGACGTTTTCCACAATAGACTTGAAAGGTAGGGACGTTTTGTGCCAATTCACATATACCCAAATCGTGTCTGCTGTTCTATGATTTCCAATTGGGAATTTTCAGTGAGACAAAAAGGATTTTTGGACTATTTCTTGTTATAATATATACGTGTGTATGTAATAGCAATGAATTATTTGTGGGTCGGGGCACAACGTTTAAGGAGATGGGAATGGGATGATGACATTCTTGCATAAGCTCGACTGATTCTGCTACTGCTGAATCCGATATGGCAGCTGATAAGTGTGTTTTTACACACTTATTTAGCTCACAAATATGACTTAAACATAGACAAAGTAGTTGAATTGTAACTTAATCTCGTTAGATTCATGCAATGTAGGTGTTTCTATGGAAAAGATGGAATTCATAAGAAAAGAGCCAAAAAATGACCAAAACGGAACAAAGCGATAGTTCGGGGACCAAAGATGCAAATATTGGAAAGTTGAACTAAAGTGCAGAACTATAATGAAAATATGCCAAGTATGAGATTGAGGACGATACAAGACGATCGGAGGAAGAAAGAAATAACATTGGATTGAATTGAAGAAAAGTGAAAGATGAAGGACTAAATTACAATTAATTAAAAGATGATCCGAGCAAGTGATCAAGGAATTGATTGACCCAAACATCAATTATGAGTCAATATTTGATAATGGAACAAAGAAAAGAAAGAAAAGAGATCCAGAAAAGAGAAAACGGAGTTCAGGGACCAAAATAGCAAGGTTGTAAAGTTACAACCTTGCGGCCACATGTAACTATACCATGCGGCCGCACATGAGGAGGCAGGGATATTATTGGGGCATATCACTTGAACCATGCGGTCGCATGGCTTGAAAATTCGACGAAAATTCTGAACTTCCGTTTTTAATTGAAACTCTTTCGGAACTCCGTGAGGACATGGTATAAAAGCTAGAATTCATCAGAAACAGGGCAGAACGTCCAGGGAGAAGAAAAATATAACTTTTTGAGGCAAAAACACGAACTTGAAGCCGATTTCACAAGAATTCAAGCGGATTTTCAAGGTTTTATTCAAGATTTCAAGAATTTTCATACGGGTACTATTCTTTCTATTTATTAATTTCGTTTTTCTTTCTGTAATTATGAATCTTCTAGGTTAGGTTTACAATTACTAGGTGATCGATGAACCATTGTTTGTTATTTTAATTCCATATTTTATGAATTTAATATAAAGACTCGTTTGGATAATTTGATTTGTTTATATGCATTAATTTTCTTCCACAATTAGTGGTCAATGATTGTGTGAGTGTTGATGACTTGTTTCTTATATTCGAGAGAAGTGGAATAGGTTCAATAAGGTATAAATCAACATAGGGTCCGATAGGGGATAGAGATATACCCCTATGCTTTATGCAATTTTTTAATTGTTCACAAAACCACATGCACTTTTGTATATTTGTATCATCTATAGAGATATAGGCTGGTGGTGATAGGTCTAATATATATCGAGAGAATATATTGGATAGAATTAGGAACATTGAATTGACAAATTTCTATCGGGTCATTAATTTTATGAAATTAGGGTTTTTATAACTTCAATTGGGGATTCGTGATCCTAGTGACTTTAGTTTGATTCATTTCCATAAATTAACTTTTGAATTTGCATAATTTCATTTACTTGAGTATTTGAGTCGTTTAATTAGAGAGAATTTCGAAATTAGGGTTTCTAATTGAGAAATTAGGGTTTTCAATAGAAATTAGGGTTTTTAGATGAAATTAGGGGTTTTAATTGAAATTAGGGCTTTTTGTATTTAGACCATATTTTCACTCAATTAGATTCGGTTAAGGCTAGATTATCTAGAATTGAACTACTCAATCTCTGAGGGACAATATTCAGATTTTTTAAAATCCACTTTATTACTTGTTACTAACCGTACACTTGCGGTAATTTTAAATCGAAAGAATTATTTCGTGAACAGCAGCGTAGGTTTTTGGTGAAATGGGATATAAATTTTATAGTCCAAAATTATGTTATTTGTGTAATTATTGATCAATCTATTTTTTAATTTTTTACATATGTTAACATTCGAGATGAAGTTCAAAGAGCATATATGTTAAAGGGTCCTTGTCAGCCCCAAGATCATGACTTTCCAAAACAACAATTTGGAGTAACAATTAGACGATTCAATCCTTCGTGGTTTAAAGAGTTCGGTAGTTGGTTGGAGTACAGTGTAGAGAAGGATGTTGCTTATTATTTATATTGTTATCTTTGCAGACCAAGTTCTGAAAAGTAAAGTGGAGGTGAGTCTTTTGTTGGCGAATGTTTTACATATTGAAAAGATAAAAAAAAAGCTTCATACTCATGTTGGACTTCATGATAGTGCATACAATCAAGCTCGCATTAAGTGTGAAGTGTTGATGAATCAAGAGCAACACATTCAATCACTTTTCTACAAACAGTCAGAACAAGCAAGAAATGCATATGTTGCACGTCTTAATGCATCTATTGATTGTGTTCAAGTTCTTTTGCAACAAGGGCACTCATTTCGAGGTCATGATGAATCTGAGGATTCTCTCAATCCACGTAACTTCTTAGTGCAATTGCAATTTTTGGCTGCTCATAATGAAGTTATTAATGCCGTTACATTGGGAAATGCTGCTCAAATTGCAAATTGACATCACCCGATGTTCAAAAGGATATAGTTAATGCTTGTGCTATTGAAACGATCAATGTTATTGTCAAAGATGTTGGCAACTCGCTATTTTCTATTATAGTTGATGAATCTTGTGATGTGTCAATGAAGGAGCAAATGTCTATTGTTTTACGTTATGTAGACAATAGTGGGCATGTTAATGAATGCTTCATAGGGATTGAACATGTTACAAGTACCACGACTCTATCACTTAAGGCTACAATTGATAAGGTATTTTCTAGATACAACTTGAGCATGTCTAGATTGAGAGGACAAGGTTATGATGGAGCAAGTAATATGCAAGGTAAGTTTAACGGTCTGAAAACACTCATTTTGAAGGAGAGTCCATGTGCTTTTGACATTCACTGTTTTGCTCATCAACTCCAACTTGCGCTTGTGCTGTGGCAAAGAAGAACATCCCTATTACTAACTTCTTTCGTTTGGTTGGAGACGTGATAAATATTGTTGGAGCATCTTCCAAACGTTGTGATCTTCTTCGAGAAAAGCAATTAGACTTTATTGTTAAGGCATTAGAAAAATGTGAGATTTTAAGTGGACGGGGACTTAATCAAGAAACGACCCTTCAGGGCTCTGGTGATAAACGATGGAGTTCACATTATAATTCTTTGGTCAGCTTGCTTGCCATGTTCTCTTCTGTTTTAGATGTACTTGCAATGATTGTTGAAGATGAATCTTGTTCTTGTGATCAAAGATCTGATGCAACAAATTTATTGGAGTCAATACAAAGATTTGATTTTGCATTTAATCTACAGTTGATGAGAAATGTGTTGCGGATGTCAAATGAACTGTTAAAGGCATTGCAAAGGAAATATCAAGATATTGTGAATGCAATATAATTGGTGATATTGTGCAAACGACAACTCCAAATAATGAGAGACGAAGGGTGGGACTCCTTTTTGGAAGAAGTATGTTCTTTTTGTCAACAACATTACATTTATGTACCCAATATGGATGATATGTTTGTACGCCTTGCACTTCGTGGTCGTCCTCAGCGTAATTCTGTAGAAATTACAAATTTACATCATTATCGAGTAGATTTGTTCTACTCTGTTATCGATTTACAACTTCAAGAATTGAATGATCGTTTCTCGGAGGTAAATACAATGTTACTCCTTTGTGTAGCTTGTTTATGCCCATAAGATTCATTTTCTTCTTTTGATAAGAAAGCTTGATTAGACTTGCTAAGCTTTATCCATTATATTTCTCTGTAGTAGATGTCATCATACTAAGCGATCAACTTGAGACTTATATTTTTTATATGAGCTCTAACAAAGAGTTTGAAAGGTTGAATGACCTTGGTGATCTTGCGGAGAAGTTAGTTCTGACAAAGAAAGATAATGTATATCCATTGGTTTACAGACTTTTAACTTTAGCATTGATTTTACCGGTTGCTACCGCTACTGTGGAGAGAGTCTTTTCTGTAATGAGTATCGTAAAGAATAGACTGCGTAATCGAATGGGTGATCGGTGGATGAATGATAGCACTATTGTTTATGTAGAGAGATATATTTTTGAAGCTCGATAATGAAGTTATTGTACGACGATATCAAATTATGAAAATTCGCAAGGAACAAGTTTAATATATAAATTATGTCGTTTTTAGTATTGTTGTAATATTGTTTTAATTTTTTTATCATCATTAAATCTATGAGCAACTCCTCAAAGTTCGGCATAAAAATGTTGCCCGCACTGAACACAAATCCTGGCTCCGCCCCTGGATACAAATGCCAGATAATTGTTAGTCCCATGGGTGACATTATTGCCTTTTAAAAAATCAAATTCTTGTCTCGATCGAATTCATATTCATGCATTCTCATTTCTACTTTACGTATTCAATTTGGTAAATCAAAATTATGTCAAGTTTTATGAACGTAAAATGTTAGTTATTTGAATATAATTTATGCACGTTAATTTTTCCAACATTAGTTACCTGAATCAAATGTGCTACGGATCATGGGTGTCCCAATAAGCTAGATGGGACAAGATATTATTAGATTCAAGAGTTCAGCGAATGGCGATTTCTGCCCCAAATGAGCTGATTCAGATACAAGGTGTCCACCTCTCCAAATTCCAAGTGCCCTGTGGCATTCGAGTATCCAATAAAGATTTTTCTTCTTAGCATTTAAGTTGCTAAAGAATTGGATTTCAATGATGAAATTCTTGAACATCGATTTAACTTCAAGATTGCATCAAAATGTTTTGTTGTGACAACCAGGAAACTCTTCATCATGTGCTCATGTGAAGCCAGGTAGTACGGTATCATTATTCAGCCATTCTGGAACTTGATTTCCGCCACATTTCTGGAGAGTTGATAATCTTATACACAAAACACGTTTAATTTTTAGTTTTCACAATCTCTTGATCTATTAATATGTATGGAAGAGAAACCAAAACTTTGTACCGAGGGCTTAATATGTGCTTGCAAAGGGAGATGAAACGCATAGATTGAGCTGGACTCCATGGCTTTAATCAACCTTTTCCATTCAAATCATATTGGGCTATGGTCTACTCAAAATTCCATCCACCACATCAGGACCATGCACTCCCTCATATGGAATTCAAATTTGTTGAATTTAATTGTAATCATGCTAAGAGTCAAGAATTACAAAATAATAGATTGATAAATCGAATTCATATTTGTGGAAGCCATTGTTGATATAAATAATAACAGCCAAATCTTTCCCTCCTTGCTCCTCACAAAAGTGTTGGTCATCAATGGGACATGCCAATAAAACTAATATGGAGAAGAGAGGGGACCTAACCTTTTTACATGAATTTATTTAGTTGTCCAATTATCAACTTAAACCCTAATTAGGGTTTATTTCCGGCCCACATACTTAAAATTACCACATTATATTAATTACAACCTGTAAGGTGTAAAAGGCTCAATTGATCACTTAATAAATTTGGCCCAAACACATATATCATCATGAACCATACACCTAACCCGTAAAATTTGCAATCGAATGTGAAGCCCACATATGAAATTATTCCAACATTCTCCCACTTGAGCAAACATTTGATTGCTATAACAAAGTTTTAATACCCGGGCTAGACTATATAGGTGGTCACAAAAGTATAGCTCCAATGATGACACCTTACATAACATGATTCGGTCCAACAAGAATATTAACTCTGAACATGGAAGTCATTACACCAATTAAACGATATAAGACCACTCCACAGTTACAAATGCCAACATCCTATTGGCATGGATCCCCATGCTCCAACTAATGTGGTAGTATGTGGTATGAACTTAGCACCAAATGTTATCAAAAAACTGTGCTAATCCATATCGGTCCTCATAATGCTTTTGATCAAAATGAAACCACATGTTTCTAAAAGAGACTCATCTTATATCTTTATCTGTCATATCTCAATATCACAATAATATCATAAAATGACATAAGTCAAATGCATGCTCAAAATAATTCATGGATAGGAGAAAAATATTTTATTATCAGAAGGGGCTGTATCAGAAAACATATGGGTTATCTACGTACCCAGCAAAGGGATCATGCCCAAAATATAGTTCATAATTAACTTCCACTAACCAAAAATATCAAATGCTTCCACAATACCCATATTAACAACGTGTGTTTTATAGACTTTTAGAGCGAGTACCTTAGTCAAAAGATCTGCAATCATTGCTTCTGTATTGATATGCTCTATTTTCATTTGTTCTTCCTTGACTCTGTCTCTAACCACCAAATATTTGATGTCAATATGGTTTGACCCACCAGAACTTTTATTATTATTTGGAAAAAAAAACACCGCTACACTGTTATCACAGTATGTGGTGATTGTTCTTGAGATGGAATCAACAACTTTCAAACCAGAAATGAAATTTCTTAACCAAACGACTTGGACTGTAATCCCATAACATGCCACAAATTCAACTTGCATAGTAGAGGATGCCACTAGAGTCTATTTAGCATTTTTTTCGAGAAATAGCACCACCAGCTAATGTAAAAATATAACCTGAGGTTGATTTCAAATCATCTTGACATCCAGCAAAATCAGAATCTAAATATCCTAGCATTTCAAGATGATTTGAATGCTGGAATGTACGCATATATCTTTCAGTTTTCTTTAAGTATCTCATGATTTTCTTAGCCGCTTTCCAATGCTTTTGTCCTGAATTCGACTGAAACCTATAAAGGACACTGACTGCATTGGCTATATCCGGTCTAATGCAAACTTGAGCATATATCAAGCTCCCCATATCACTAACATATTGACTCATCTTTATAGATTCCCTTCTAACTCATTCTTTAGACATTGAGCTTTGTTAAACTTATCCCTTTTTACGACAGGTACATCACCAAGTGCATAGTCAAAGTCCTAGTAAGTCACAATTTTTATCATGATGTATTTCAATGCCAAAGACATAGGAAACTTCTCCAAGATCTTTCATCTATAAATTAGCAGACAACATTTTTCTTTGTATCATGAAGCAATCCCAAGTTACTGCTAGCAAGTAAAATGTCATCAACATATAGGACAAGAAAACTAAAATTTCTCTCACTGATTTTGAGATAAATGCATTGATCAACAGTATTTTCAACAAAATCAATAGACGTCACAACCTTGTCAAACTTCAAATACCATTGAAGAGATACTTGCTTGAGACCATATAAGGATTTGTTTAACTTACATACCAAGTTTTCTTTTCCTTTCACAACAAAGCCTTCAGGTTATTTCATATAAACCATTTCAGAAAGATCTCCATTCAAAAATATTGTCTTAACATCCATCTGATGAAACTTCAAATCATAATGTGTCACAAGTGCCATAATAATTCGAAAGGAATCATTTGACGAAACGGGTGAAAAAGTTTCAACATAATCAATGCCTTCTTGCTAAGTGAAAACTTTTACAACCAATCTTGCCTTCTTTCGCTCAACATTCCCTTTTGAATCCAATTTACTTTTAAAAATCCATTTGTTATCTATAGCTTTAGCATCTAGAGGAAGTTCAACAAGTTCCCAAACTTTATTCTTTTCCATAGAATTCATTTCATCTTTCATAGCATTTATCCATTTATCTGCCTTAGGACTTCTCAATGCTTGATTATAAGTTATGGGATCAACAATATGCCCAATATTAAAATTGCTCTCCAACAAATATGTAATGTAATCACTGGGCAAGACCTCCTTTCCATTTGTGATCTTCTAACTTGTGGCTCAAGAACTGGCCCTATTGTTGTTGGAGGAATTTGGAAGTTCCTCTAGGTTCCCCAATTCTTTATTAACAACATCAACTGGTTGAAAACAAATTTTTTTCCTGTATAACAGGAACTGGAACAACAACTTGATTTGGTTCAATAAAAGTTCTCTCAATGTGGAACTCCCACTATCACTAAAATCATTTTCCAAAAACTTAGTAGTAATGGACTCCACAATTCTAGTGCCACGATTTGAATAGTAAAACTTATATCCTTTTGATCTCTCTGGGTACCCAATAATGTAACTAGGAGTGGATTTCAGGTCTAATTTTCTTTTCAAACGGATTATAAATCCTAACATCAATTAGACATCCCCAAACATTAAAAGGAGTCAAACTTGGCTTATGTCTTATCCATAATTCAAAATGTGTCTTTGCAATAGTTTTACTTAGAATTCTGTTTAAAACACACATGACAGTTTACAAATTTGCTAGAGATACTCTAGCAAATTTGTTCTACCTATCATGCTTCTGACCATATTTTTTAGAGTTTGATTACGTCTTTCAAAAATATCATTCTACTCAGGTGTCTCTGACATGGTATATTGGGGCACTATTCTACACTTTTGTAAAAACTTTGCAAAATCACCCATATTTTGATCAGATTCGT